AGCTGGCATGAATTTGAACTACCATTCTGAGAAATGGTGGTGTAGTCTTATAAAAGAAAACCTAAAAGCAGAAGAAAGTAAACTAATGATTGTAAAATGAATTGTGAAAAAAAGAGAAAGTAGACATTGGAACTTAAAGTGCCTTGTGGATGTAAAAGGAGAGCAGAAAATCTATAAAGATGCTTTGATAAAATGACAAAATTTTACTTTTTGACCTGCATGCAAAACACAATGTGTGACGGAAGCGACACTGCACCTCAAGCATACCATCTCAACACGGCAAGGGCAGCATCATGCTGTGGGGAATGATTTTCTTTAATAGAGGAAAAGAAATTTGCAGAAAACAAAGGAAGATGAATGGAGCTATAAACAAAGCAATCCTAAAAGTAACTTGTTAGGGTCAGCAAACGACTTGAGACTTGACAGGAGGTTTACCTTTCGCCTAAATAAGCAACCAGCACTACGATGGTTCAGCAAACCATTCATGCCTGTCCCGTCTGTTTGACCACTGTCCAGACCTAAACCCAACTGAGTTTACAGACTAATCAGACAATCTCCATCTAATCGGAAGATAAACCACGTTTCAATCTTCTTTTACTTCAGAATAAAACTCTACTTTCTACAGATACCATTAGCAGAAAGGCATCTTTAAACATATTGAGTGCTTCAGAGCTGTAAAGTTCAAAAATATGGAAAAGCTCAAGTGAAATAAACCCTTTCTAAGACACAGAGCAACCCCTCAGTGAGTGATTGAAATAAGCACATTACCATAATTGTCTCTACACAGACTGTGTAACTAGATAAAATTAGCATTTGAATATAACCAGCCTGTTACTGCTTTGGAGACAAAGTTTCTCATTTTAAAATGAGAAAAAGAACTTGAGAGAGAAAGAGCAAGGTTAATGCAAGAGAGTTTGTGGACACGTCTATCGTACAGTGTCATTTACTGCACTCAAACAGCAGGAGAGAGTCTTTAAATTTTAAATATATTTATATACAAGTATAAATGGATCTTGAATCAGGTCAAATATACTGACTCAATGAGGATTCAATGACCAAATATATACCGGTAGTTCTAAATAACAGAACAGGAAAAACTAATGAAAACAGTAGAGCAATAACTTTAAAAACCTGATGCTCTGAACTTGTGCAGCAAGGGAGAATCTTGGGATGAATCCACAAAGTGTTTTGTGGATTCATCCACAAAACAGGTGTTAAAAAGTAACTGCAAGGCAGCTAAAATGCATTTTGTATTTTTGATATAAAATTCATCTTTATTATTTTATTTGTTAACTGAAAAAATTGCATTTCTGCAGGTTATATGTGATAACCGTAGACAGTAACATTCTTAAAAATTACATCTCTTATTAAATGTCTAATTTACTCAGATTTACTCTCTAAAGACAAAAAACAGGAGGAAACAAAAATTCTACCAACAAATGTATGAAATGAGAAATCCTATAAGGCGACAAATTACTTGTAGATTATTGAAAGTGATTTGGACTGTTTGCAAAATACGACAAGATAATACAAACATCCATAGATGGAAATAAATCATCAAGTTTAGAGAAGAAGTACCTCTAGATCTTTCATTTGGAAGTTGTGTGTGGAAAATAACTGAATTATCTTTCTTTTACATATATGTATTTTGCTTGATTTGAAAATATGTTTATATCAAGACCTTTGTGCCAAAAATATTACAAGTTGCATCAAGGAAAGACAAGGACTGAGTGTGGATTCTAAACTGTAAAGGTTGAACAATGACTAGAATCCGAATATATAGCATAGTGCATCTTTTTCATTGTTTTTGATTTCTAATCCTTATCGGTGAACTTGGAGGTCCTTGCTGCTCCTTTGTCTTTCTAGCCTAAATATTTTCAGCAACTTTATGCAAGAAAATCTGCACACATCAATGTTCCATATCTTAAAATATGTTTCCATTGCCCCATCCAAACCATGAGCACCTTTCTTTGGACAGACATGCACACTCACACCCACGCACACAGAAAAGAAGCAAAGTTAGTACCACTCACTGTTTTCTTGTTCTGTATGTTTTTCACCACCTGGGTAGAAAAGCATTGCATTTTTGACAAAAGACAAAAAAAAAAAAAAAAAAGATTTTAGGAGCCGCTGTCACCCAGCAGCAAAGGATTAGTGTTCAGGTTGATGAGACTGGCCAATTCTGAAGCACAGCTCACTTTTGCTTTCAGTAACTTCTTGATGGTCTGGGCAGAGGCCAATGATCTTCAGCGATCATATTCTCGGGTCAGAGAGTGCATGCTGCTCGGAAATAAATCAGTGAAGGGTAAAGAGACCGCAGCTCATTGGAATGAAAGGTAACACTGGGCACACTGAGCAAAATGATGTCCTGGAAAAGGAGCAGAAATATAACTGTTTGTTGAAATGTGGTATTCCAATAAGAAACACAACGTGATGGCTGATGCTATAACAAGAAGATTGGAGAGGAGTGGAAGCCTCGAACAAATAGAAAAAAATAACTGAGTGTTGGTGAGGAAATTATTCTAGTCATTCTTAAAGTAAGACTCCATGCCAAACCTATAACCATACATCAACAAAGCTTTAAAAAGCCTGACAACAATGACAAAAAACAAAAAAAACAACTGCATCTGTACAGAAACTGAACTGTTCCTTTATTGCATTAGCTTAACTGTTAGACTTTGTATCTGAGTTGTGGTCTCATGTCTGGTTGGCAGCAGGGATTTTAAGGCTCTTGAGCCAATGTCAAACTGGGAGAAGATGGTAGTTTTAGATGGGGGAGGGTTTATGGTGAGGATAAGACTTTTTTCCCCTCATTTCTCCCCCCTTTTTGGTCTGCTGTTGCCTGCCAGTTCTATCAACATCTGGCACTGTTTATCCCCTAGGCTGATAGTTCAGACTGGAGAAACACAAATACAGATACTGAACTATGAATAGGTGAGGGTCCACTACACATTTAATCACTATTACATTGGGCACTGAAAATGTTTAAATGTATATCTGTACGGTGACAATTACAAATAATCTTGAAACTGGAAGGTGTTCCAGAAGCAACTGTGCTCGTCTGAAAACCCACAAACATTTTCTCCCAACTGCAGGCAGCCTTAAAAAGGCACATTGACACAGGTTAATGATATATACATGTCCCACTCAACACATTCAATCTATCAATTCACTTCACATTGCTTTTGTGCTAAAATGACAGTTTAGCATGTTTCAATGCGATTGCAGTGAATTGTACAGACAAAACGTACAGAAAAAAAAATGTTCTCCTGCTTCATAAACTTAGTGACTTTCCTGGAACACCATAAGAGTTTATTGACAGGTCTTATTAAAACAGGCCACAGTTTGGGGAAGGGACAACAACCAATGCAGTCACTCTTCTGCTGTCAATGTCATTGTAAAGGATGAAAACACTTTCAGAATACTAGAGAGAAAACTCACATTTGGTGAGTCTGTAAAACTTCAGGGATATGTCCTTTGGAAAAATATTGTGACATATCTGCGGTTCCTTCAAACTCCATGAGAGATAGAGAGGGTAACACTTCAGTCTTGATAGGCCGAACAAAGTACAGCATAGCTTTTCTGTTTAATTTTTTTGGGCTTTCACTTTCTTTCTGTTATGGGATTGGGAAAAAAATGGCAGTTTTCTGCCATTTTAACAATGCTAGCTCTGCTTCCCAAGCTTACCACTAATCTTTTAAACTTCTTCATCACTTAGTTTTTGTTTTAAAGAACAGGTAAAATTGTTTTTTTGTTGACTGCTCTTTTCACAGACATAGCCTATCAATAACTACTGACATTTCACTGAAGGACATCTAGAAAAAAATGCTATGGAATATTTAAATCTTGCTGTATTCAAATCTTGGGTCATGAGACATGAGATGTTTACTATTTAACCAAAACAGCCTGACACTCAAAAGGCATAACAATATGAAATTTAACACCTTTCATTTGAAAACATTTTGAATGACATTTAAGTCTAAAATTAATCATTGTATCTACAAAAAAAAAGTCATTTTTAAGCTCCATCAGCTTTTCATTATAAAATAAAAACATGCAAGTTAAAAAAAATGAAGTAAGTAATTAGTGTCCCAATAATTGTAACGAGAGTTTACAGAGCGCCCTTTTTTCCTGGAGCCTGGTATCTGAAAGTGACAGGCAGAGAAAACGACAGAGTTCATGGGACAATGAGACCCATTGATACGGTGGAGACAGGACCGGGCGCCTCCCGTGTGCCGAGGGCAGCTGACGGTGCACATAGGCACCATGATTAGTCTGCATTACAAATGGCTTAAACAGAGCTGTAGACGTGAAGGTACAAAAAAAATAAAAAAATTCAGAGAGAAATCGAAACCTCTACTGCTTTCGCTCTCTTTGTACTCTTATAATTAAAACACAAGATGAAAGCTCCTTGCAGCAGCTCTCAGTACTGTTTTCATGATCAGAATCTTTAAATTAGTCTCTTTCTTGGCAGTTCTTGCATGTCTTTTTTGTATTAAAACACATTCATGGTTTATGGCAAAGGAAGCAGCTAACACTGATATGATGTGGTCTGTAACAATGTTTAAAGCTTGAAAATCAAATATTTCCAACAGGTTAACCTCTAAAATCCTCATCTTTTCCGGCACAACTCCCACTCTACTGTTTTCCATTAATCCAAGGGAATTCCATTTAATTTCAGAGATGAGATGCGTTGGGTCACTATTATTTTCCACAAAAAGTAGCAGACACATAAATTTGTAGCACGGAGGCCATCTGCAGGTCTTCTTGTGCAACTGCAAATAAATCATCTTAACTGTTGCTTGTCACTGAGAGCAAAAGGAATCTACATTAAAATACAATGCATGTGTTTTCACATATGACTATCTTCTGAGATAACTCTCTGCAAATACTCTTAATCCTCAGTTTAAACCTTTTGTTGAAGATTTGTCTAACTTACAAGTCTGTTTCGTTTCTACTTTAGTAACATTTCAAGTAAAAATTGATGTTTTGGGATGTACCTGTCTGTAAATGGAGATGATCATCTCTCTCAGATGATAGTGCATGGGGGTCATGGTCTCACTGACAGAATCCAGTGCCAGGTCTACCTCTTTCTTCCTCTTGTGGCCATCGGGGAGAAGACGAACCACTCGCATAACAACCTGCAGATAAGCAGAAACAATGCACATGCACTTTATGCAGTACTTTTTAAAGGGATTTATATTATTGACTCTATAATGTGTTTATATATTTATGTTTTAACAACGTAAGACATTTTGAACTGACATGTTGCTGCAATGTGCTATACAAATAAACTTCATGATTGATATCCATGAACTTTAATCATAAACCTAATTAAAGTTTCTCCACAACTACTCCGCAAACTGTAATATATTTTCTCTGGCCCAACAAAAACTAGTGTAAAGCTGTGAAGAGGAAGAAAATTATGAGTGTGTGTCTGTGTTTTTTTTAAACTCTTTACAGAAAACACACATATCAGATACAAACCCATTTGTTTTGATGTACGTTTTGATCTCAAAAGCATGCATACAAAACAGGAGACATTTCTCTTGGCTTGGGTTTGAAACTTAGGTCAGTTGTAAAGAACACAGCTTGTCTGTCCTGACCCAATTAGCGCACTGGTGCAAATGTGTGTCATTGTGTTCATTTATAGTGTTGACCCCGCAGAAAAAGGGAGTGTGTCCAGCAACACATGCACATGACGTTAAACCATAAAAACAGTGTCACAGAAAGCGGTCACTACATTTTTTTATTATTATTATTCTTCCTTGGTGGCAGAAATTGAAAAGTCAAAAAGGGGACATTGCAGACAGAAAATGTTTTTCAGTGTTTTTGATGCAAAAATTATCTCAAAATTTGTCCCAGATTGCACCAAACTTCATTGTACATTATTTAAAAATTCATTCTTGGCTGTTATATCTCCCACTGTAAGTCATTGACTTGGGTTAGCAGATAATCAAAATATTTACCTAAATAATAACTGATAAGGCAAAGTAGGTCGGTAAGGTCATTTTATTTACATAGCACATTTTAAGCAATAAAGGAAATTCAAAGTGATATGGGAGATTTCAGAGATTTCAGTAGTATTGAAGACTACCTCAGGATCTATCAATGCACACGTGTTTATTCAACCACTCTGGGTAAGCAAGGACAATAAATGCATAATTTCTTGTTTAAGAACTTTGAATTTTCAGTCACTTTACCCAAACTAAAAACCACTAATAAAAATAAGTCAACAGAGCATGAGAAAACAGACCAAATTCAAGCATAGCATTTGCTAACTATGCAGGACTATTGAAATTGTCCATTGACTTTATTATTTTCAACTTTGTTGCTAATGCTCTGTAACCTTCAGGCACTATAATCTGTGTTGGATGTGAGTCTCCACTGCAGTTAGACTCTAACAAACAGACTCTAAATCTGAATATTGACACTGTAATTACAATATGTCTGTGAAATACTGGTCAGCATTATTATTAACATGGGTATATATTATGGTTTGAAAGGTTTTAAAAAGCAGCTACACTTCTTTTTGTCAGTGGTAAACAATAACCACATCAATGTATCTTCATTTACAGTTGGCGCATTTCCTCATATATGCATCACCTACAAATTCCATAATACTGACAAAGTATCCAGCTTGAGGTTATCTGATTGAGCAAAACTAATACTAACTTTTAAAGTTTAGGTTTTTAACAGTTCTGGATGATATCCTATGCTTTTAAATGGCTACATTTGTCCACCATGTTTACCAAATTATCAGCAAGAGAATCTTTGTAGAGTAGAGTTGAATGTAAAGCAAGTAGCAGCAAGTTAAAGTCAAAAGAAATTGCCTGCTGAGGTTAAAAGCTCTAGCATGAAGCACATTTTATAGGCATAAATAGGTGAAAGTAGAGGTTATTTAAAACTGCTTCTTTTCTTCCACTGAATAATGTGTCAGACTTAGCAGCCATCACAGCATTTTTTTAGCAGTTAATTCAAAGGGGATTACGACATCCTATTTTTATAGGCGGTTGAATTGGAGGCTGACAAGGTTTCTGTGGCGACCGTTCTGTGCCTCTGAGAAAATCCAATGGACACACTGCTGTGATTGACGTGTGGTATTGTGTGGCTGCAGAGTGTGGCCTCCTGTGCTGAGGACCCAACCAGCAGGTTCCAACCACTGACTCATTGTCGATGCTGAACCAAGAGCGAAAAAAAACCCAACAAAAAGATAAAATACTGCCTCTAATTAACAGACCAGAGGAGAGAAGCTATGTCTTCTAACAAGACTTCATCGCTGCTTTCAATTTGAAGCACTGACTGTAAACCCAGTGGATAAACCGCACAACAAGGTGTTTTTAAATTATTTGTCTTCAAATGGATTAAGTTGTGTCTCAGCTCAAGTTGCTCTCAATAAAATGTCAACAAAGCACCACCTTCAGGGAACGACTTACAGACAGAGTTTACTAACCCAAAACTCAGAGTGGTGATGAAAGTGAAATAGAAATAACATTGCAGTTTCACAAATTCCCAAAAATATGTTTCATTAATCCCAACCCACTACATACATAATTTGCAAAAGTCATCAGTTGTAAAATTAGTAAACGCTGGATTTTTCCCAAGACTAGAAATACATGTAAACTAATGGGTAAAATTTTGTGCCTGCAAAAATGTTTTTAAATTACTTAAATAAAATTATAAGAATAATTTTAAAGCATTTTAACAATAGAAAATATGTAACAAACATTTACAACAGATGATTACAATCAATTCATCCAAGAGCTGAATCTTACTATGGATAAAGAGTATGAAGACTTTAAACAAATGGTTAAATGTAGAAACTTGTCTTGAGTGCACTTGCTCATTTTCTGTAGAAATAAATATATTTGTATTGAGCATACACACCTCAAACTCTCCCTTTGTGTACTTGGCATCAGGAACACTGACAATCTCATCATCTGTGCACTCTGGGAAGCCCTGCAAACCCAGGTCAGGTTTCAGTTAAAAAAAGTCCTGAATGATGCTGTTGTGAAAGCCCAAAAAGAGAAGTTTAATAATTCTGCTACTTACCTTAAAATGCCAGAGAGTGAGCACAGCAATAACCATAGCAGTTGTAGTTCTGCTTTTGCCATTGGCGCAATTAAAGACAAAAGCTGAGTGGGAATCTTCAGCTAACGCATTCTTTATGGCCTCATGAAGCTTATCAAAATCCTGGGAATAAAAATGTCAGAAATTACTATAGGATATGTTGGCTTCACTGAAACCGTTTAACTGTTGCCCTATAAATTATGTCAGACCATGGTTTTATTAGGACACTGATGTCCACATGACATTTAAGAGGTTGAGAAATGACATGATGAAATTTGCTTAATATAGTCACTCAAATGTAATTACATTTCTAACCACCAGAGGGAGCCTTAAACTTATTTTTTATCCTGTCCAGACTGAATGCCCTGCATCTGATTTCCTTCATCCATATCTACTTATTTTTAAATAAAATGTCTGTGCCATCTTTAGTACCTCATTAGTACTCCATTACACCCAATGGTACGTCAGTGATGATGGATGCTTACTTCTTCCCGTGGTGAGCTACAGTCCGGCAGAGGGATTCGTTTGTACACGAGGCCTTGGTGGGAGTCTTTGTGCTGGTTGAAGATCTCCTGAATGGTCAGGCAGCTTTTAAACATCTTCATCTGTTTCTCCTGCTCCAGAGTTACCTCCAGCCATTTCTGAGCTCGCAGAATCTCTTCCTTCAGTGAGGTTTCCAATTTCTGCAGGACAAGTGGGGACAGGCACCCATTGTAATTTGAAAAACATAAGTAAATTCTTTCATATGCATTTGTTTTCTTCTTCTTTCCTATTTTACTTGTAACAACTGCGGGTCACTTGTTGGGACAGGGATGTGCTGGTCCAGACACGAGGGTTCCCTGGGAAAGAAGATTTGTCCATTTCCTTCGAGCGCCAACTCCTCCTGCACATTGACCCACAAAATGTGGTTGTGCTTCCTCTTCTCATCCATTAGGTGGGCAAGAACTGCTCCAATGGCCTGCAGAAAGAACGGTCAAGATTTAGGCAAACAGACCGAAGAGCTTTCTGTGGTGAGCGTCCAAATTATCATGAAACATTTCAAAAGGTTTGACGTCTAGACTCTTAATGCCAGATAGATTGAACCATTCTAAAGTCAATATTGATGGGTATTTAAGATCATTGTCTTGTTAGAATACAAAGTTATTTCCATGTTTCAACCATCATTCTTGTCACAGTTTTTCCTGGTTTAGTTCAACTCATCTCGATCAATATTGCTTAAAAGTAACAATAGCCTATCATTTACCTATACCATTTACACAGTTTTGTGTTACAAATGGAAAATGAACCCCAAACTCATTCAAACTGATTTTGGAATGAAGAAGGAAGGTTAACAATAAGCTTAAAAGTTGCATGAACCACACTCAGCAATTTGGGGCTAAACAAGTGATCTAACATTTCTAAAGAATTATACAAAAATCCTTAACATGTGAAAGCATGTGGTTTCTCTGCAACAAGCTAAAGGACATCTATCCAAACAAGCATAAATTCCAGACTACAGAGCACTCCTGTTGCATGCTCTAATTTCAGAGAGAAAACCAATTTTGTACTTCTACAAGCCACACTGGATTATAAGCTGTAGGTGTCCCACGTTGCAATGTAAGATACTTACATGGAAAGATCATTGTCTTGAGGATTTTTTAACTTTTAATTTAATCCGCATGGCAACATAAACAAATACATATTGCAAATGTTTTTTTCAAACAGTTCCTGTAAAACGGCTACCTTTAGACATAAGTACTCATCAGTAACACGCGTTGCTTATGTTCACCGGAAAGCAACTTTCCAGGGCACAGGTCTAAGACTTCCATTTTTTTATTTTTTATTTAAAGGAATATCTCAAGCTACGCACAGTGCAGCCATACAGCTGCAGGAGCTACTGGATTTACAATACCAGTCCTGCTCTTGATTCATCGCACAATTTCATTGGACCTCTGCAAATTACTCATCAATTGGTTGGTCTTCCGTTACGAGGCGAAATGTTTTTGTTGGCACAAAAACAAACACACATTAGCTGCATCTTAGTATAGGATCAAATGCATCATTGAAAATTTTAAACTAATCCATATTTCAAGCTGTTAATGAGAGTATATAAACTGATCATGTCTATTCATTTTCCCAGCATCCTCTCAAAATGTAAGCAGGAGCAGATTATTGATTAGACAGAAACAGAATCTTTCACTCATCTCAAGATGCTTGACTTTCATCTCACAGACAGATGATTAAAATCACTGGTTCTAATTTGACGACAGAATCAGCAGCTGCACTTCACCTCTGATGTCGGCTGAGCCACTCCATAAACAGGCATCTTGGGCACTCGTCTGAAGTTGGCCACCTTCATCTCTTTGATTGTGCTGAGCACGTCGGGGGCCAAGTACTCATCTGCAACCTGCTCAGACACAAGGAGTCACGCATTAATCACAGCGCCAACAAATGCAGAGTGTGTGTGAAGATACAAATGAGAGCTTAGGAGGCGGAGGGTGGCGTGGGGGCACACCAGCACCTCATTTGAATTGAAATTTATCTCACCGTGAGAAAATTATTGATTAAAAAAAAAGGTAAAATATTATTCAGATTTGAATACATTTAGATGTGTTCAGGAGCTTAATAATTTCATCATGAGAATGGATGCTGCAGCAGTGCTGTTAGCCAGTGTTGCACTTATTTTATGTAGCTAAAATAATTTTCAGGATTCCTAAACATTTTCCCATGTTAACATCCAAAGCTTCTCCAGAATCCCATTTCCAAGGTGAGTGGATTACTAAAAACACAGGAAAAGAAGGAAGAAAGCAAAAAAAAAACAAGGATGGAAATACCAAAATTAGAACAAGGATGAATGGAAACAAATGTGGAATAAGAAAGGACACAAGGAATAAAGAAAGACAAAAAGGAAGGAGGACAGCATTGGGATAAAGAAAAGACTAAAAGGAATCAAGTAAAATGCATGACCCCTGGATTGTTCAGAAGAATGACTTGGTAAACAATCTTTAATTCTTTTTTCTGTTTTAATGTAACTTCACACTCATGGAGAAAAATGCAAATATATTGACTCATTAAAAAATACAAAATAAAAACTACAAAAACAAAAATAGGTTACTTGATTTTAAAGACAAGAATGGTCTGATCCAACACAACATGCCACTATTTCTGGTTTTACATCAAAAAAGCAAATTTAATAATTAATTTTTAGCTTAATCAACACAACATACTTGTGTTGAAGTATGTCCTTCAACACAAAATGTAGAATCTAAAGCCAAAATCCCAAGAACTTCAACAACACGAGAAAATGTAAGCAAAATTTGGCGCATGTTTTGCCGACTTCTCGGTTCCTCACCAGGACGCGGGCTCCTTTGGTGAGCAGCTCGGCAGGAGCAGACAGCTCGGACACGTCCATGCAGGCCAGCAACCTGTACAACCAGGCGTGGCAGCACATCCACTGACTGAAGTTGGACATAAAGGCAAGGGGATACTGCAAAACACAGCAGAGTCACAGCCGATTTATCACAAAACTGCAAATCGTATTAATAAAGTTGAAACAAACATTACCTGTTCATGAAGGTAAGCATTAAATACAATCAAGTAGAAGTAGCGCTCCAAGCTCTGCTTTGTTCTGTTGAGAAAGTACTCTTTGGTAGCACTTCCCTAAAAGTAAAAAAATAACGTTTGATTTTCTGTTTAACAGAGTCATATCTGGTACAAAGTGGTGAACTTTTTTTGCTGTCAGCAAAAAAAGTCACGACTTACTTGAGTCTGGTAATCTTCTCCAATCCCTTCCAGTTTACTTGCATTCTCATATATTGCTTCTTTAATGTTGTGCATCTCTGAGCACAAGGTAATAGCATGGTCCACCTGAAAAGTGAGCAAAAATACTTGTTATGACCTCTTTAAGGCAATTTCAATTCAAGATATCACACAAACATGTTTAAAAAACATTTAGAAAACTAAAATGCAATACTGGAAGGTTTATTTCTAACTGAAAATGCTTTAAACGTCCTACAAGGCTTCCTAGGTGAGTTGGCAGTATGAACAAATTAATCAGATCAAATTCCTTCTGATCTCTGGGTAATAACTAAAATTCTTAGAAAGCAGCATTGAAATAAATCAATCTTCATCATTCAGAGGAATCTCTCTGCACCTCTCATGTTAACATCCAAGGCCATCATGAAGACAATCACATCTGATATTCCACCAATGGTCTGGATTTCATCAGTCCTGGCAGTAGTTTTTTGTTTTATGCACTAAACATTTAATTAAAGTCTGCTATCTGGCTCCTCTACAAAACTGAAACTACAATATCTTGGGTTTCTAGGACAAATGAAAAGTGTGCTCAACTTGGTGTTAATAAATAAGGTGTGATTTATATAACATGCACAGATCTCGGGAAATCTGCTCACTGTGCAGTTGACGCCTGACATGGAGCAAAGCATTCGCGTTTATTTGTATGTTGTGTGGGTAATTGAAATCTAATCACAGCTGGTCATTCCAGAAGCAGTCAAGATATGCATGCTAAAAACACATCTCCTCTATAAATTTGTTTCTTTAAAAATGCATGGAGAAAAACATATAAATGAAGCCCACTGATATCACAACAGAAAACCAACTGGTAATGTCGCACAGAGCGAGATTTACCCCATGAGATCATTCTCACAAGTCCATCTCTGTGAGTAATCACAGTTTTGTGCTAGAAAATCTTGCAATTCCACACATAATTACATCTCAAATGATTGGACATGATGCTGGAGAAAAACTAACCCAATCATAAAACCCCTGTGAAATATGGTGGTGGCAGCATTATGCTGTGGGAAAGTTTGTGAGAACTCATGGGAGGATGAACCTGCAGCGTACCTCTGAATGAAATTCTATAAAACTGAAAAAGACTTGAAATGTTTACCTTCAACCAGGACAAAAACATTAAACGTACAACCTGCTAAAATGGAAAGCCTTACTGCAGATCAAAGCAATATTATTTGTTAAATTGGCCCAGACTAAAATCAAATTGATAATCAATTGCAAGCCTTAACAATTTATATTACTGACATTATCCATCAAATTTTGCACAAAAAAAAAGATGTGCAAAGCAGGACACATCTCCAATATGCAGATCTTTCAAATGTGCATATTCTGCATGCTTTTTCCAATTTGTGTACATCATTACCTCTTCCATAAGCTGCTGTCCATTAGGCAACCTTTTGATCAGATTCTGGATAACTTGGAAAAGTGGTCTTGGCTCTGAAGTACCTGCCTCCCCAACTCTGTAACAAAAGGCAAATATTTAACATTTTATTCCATAAATACTTCAATAGAAATGTCTTTTGGCACTGTACTATTAAACAACTTGTAGGCGTGGGTGAGTGTTTAAACTCTTACTGTGGTGGGGGATGTGAGTCCCCTGTGAGTCTTTTCATGACTAGCGTGCCCAGAATCATGGCTAGGTTGGTGCGGCCGACGCCCACCTGGCAGCTGAAGACCAGGGTAGGCGGCAGTCTTCTGGACGCGTTGCGGCCCAGACACAGGCTGGGATTCTCCTACAAAGCAGAACACATCAGAGAAGAGAGAGGCTGTGACAGCAATCGGTCTATAATAATAAAAGTGGGACTGCGCAGAATGAAGCCAAAACTATAGTGATGTAGAAGTAACATTCTGCACAAAAATCATGTAATTTTCCCAGTTTTAAGAAGCCAAATACTATCAATAGGAAGGATTTAGAAATCTGAAACTACTTCTACATGAGTCATTATGTTAACATCTTGGAAATAATAAGTGAGCGAGATTTACAAAAAGGCTGACTAAGAAGAAAGAGCACTGCATTAAAAATCTGTTTTAAAAAAAAAAGTACAAGCCACTTTCCAACCACATGGAACTCAATCAGCAGCTGCAAGTCACTCCAAAAAAGGGCAAAATGAGAAGAAGAAAACATCCTGAAGGGCAGGACAGAAAGCAGGCCGTGCAATGACTAAAGAGCGGACATAAAGTGACTTCAGACTTTCTTTCTTCAAATTTTAATCACATTTATGACGTAATTGATTGCACATGCAAGACAGATTTAAACATAGATTAAATAAAAGCCAGTGTGACCTTTTCACCACCTTTGTGACAGAGTGCAGACACCCTGCAGTATTCTAGTCATTAATAACTCCAATGGGAATGAGATTCAGGAAGAAGAGCATAACCAAAAAAGGGTAGCTTAATTGTCAGACTGAGATTTTTACATATGCTTACCCTGAGTATGTTAACAAATGCATCTAAATCTTCTTCCAATGGCGCTCCCTCCATTGGTAGTGGTAATCTGAAGTACCTGCAGTGCAACAGACAGTTACCCAGAGGGAAACCTGCAGCCTTTGTTATGTCAATACTATTGCTATGTAGAATATAAGCAAACACTTAAAGGCAGATGAACTTCTGCAAGTCCTCATTTAACTTATGAGGGTGAAAAGCAGGTTGGCAGTAAACAAGGAGGTATGCAAGACATAAGATCAGAATCACTGGATAAATGGAACTTCAGCGCATTAAAAAAGTATTCACATCCCTCAACTTTAGCCACAGTTTGTCAATTTAAACTCTAATGAGCTTTAATATGACAGAACAATACCAAGTTATGTACATTAGAAAAAGGATACAAGGTTCAACATAAATCCTTCTTTAAAAATTTTAATTTACAAAATTATATATATATATAAATTCCCTTCTCACCCACCGCGGGTGGTTCTTATCCTCTGAGCTCGGGTCCTCTACCAGAGGCCTGGGAGCTTGAGGGTTCTGCGCAGTATCTTGGCTGTGCCAAGGACTGCACATTTCTGGACTGAGATTTCTGATGTTGTTCCTGGGATCTGTTGTAGCCACTGCTCCAGTTTGGGGGTTACTGCCCCGAGGGCCCCGATGACCACAGGCACCACTGTGGTCTTCACGTTCCAGGCCCTCTCCAGTTCTTCCCTGAGGCCCTGGTATTTCTCCAGTTTCTCGTGCTCCTTTTTCCTGATATTGCAATCACTTGGTATTGCTACATCTACCACAACGGCTTTCCTCTGATTTATATATATATATATATATATATATATATATATATATATATATATATATATATATATATATATATATATATATATATATATATATATATATTTAGGACAACCATATATATTTATTTAGGAACCATTAATCACGCAATCCATAAACTGTATTTATTAAAAGTGGTAAAAATACTTTACTATTAAATTTCAAAAGTTTGTTGTTTTTGAATGGATATATTTCTCAGCAAATCTCTATTTTTTTCACAATGGAAAAAAGTTTGTCACAATAAAAAAAAAAAAGTTAAAGAAGTTCTGGTTGCAGTTAGTAACAAACAATTTGATTTGGGGGTAAACAACCAACATGTGCATGATGAGGGTGCTTTGCTCAAGTAAGACCAAAAACGAACTTTTTGTCCTACTTTCAAAACAGTGATGTGGTGTAAACCTTATACAGCATACCACTGCTCTGTAGGTATGCTCTTCTTTAGCAGGAAGAGAAAAGCTGGTCTGAGGGTTGGGTTGGGTCATGCGCTCAAAGGCAATGACAAATCTGTGTCAAGAATTTAAAAATGTTGCAGATCGCCTTCCACTCAAGCTGATTGAATTCAAGTTATTTTAAGAAGAAAGGACACAAATGTTGAGCTCTAAATGTGCAAAACTGGTCTGCAGAAGAAGATAGTTCTTTGAATTACAAAACACGTTGAGGTTTGTGGTTGCATCATGATGAAATAAGAAAAGGTTCAAGAAGCATGAAGAGAAGCAAGGTACTGTACATCAAAGCATTTTGCTTCATTGAACAACCTTCTGTCCCTTAAACGGAAGTGTGGAGATCATGTCAATAAATCAACAAACAGGATGCCCCCATCTTCAGTAGGCACACACCAATCAATCAACTACTGACTGGTACTGGCCTGTTTACAGCTTGGCCATTTTAACAGCTGAACACCCACTCAGATACTTAAGTCTAAATTATTTTCAAGTACCATAGCAAAGCAGCCAGTTTGTTCCAGCAATACCACATTTTTAATGACTGAAGAAAACTAAAAAAGATTAAGAAAACATTACAATGGAGACAAACTATCTAGTAAATTTTATGAAATAATTATAGTTTATTTTCAATCTGAACTTATTTGTTTAAATGTCTCCATGTCTAAGAAAAACAATGCAAACAAAATACAGGAAGCCATGATGTGTGAAAACCGACAACCAACCTGTAACCTTGCATGGTGAACATCGGCCTCTTATAGACCTCCTCCGTCACGTGAATGTCCTCCTCGCACGTTATGGACATCTTCTGTGGCTCATCTTTGAAGAACTCGATGTCGTTGTAGACATATAAGGTGTTTTTGCTGAGCTTTGCAAAGTCGTGGAGCTGTATAGGAAGAACCTTCACTCAGTCACATCTCAAATGTTTTTATTCTCCTATGTAGAAACTGAATATGTTTGCTACCTCATTTCTGATGCTCAGCTCCAGGCTTTCTACTGTCTCCTCTCCTTGCAATCCTTGAAGGTTCTCATGTAGGTTTTCTTTCCTACGCGGGGTGTACGGCACAAAGTCGTCGTCCTTATGAAGGAAAACCACTGGCTCCTCTCGTATGCAGAAGAAGATAATCTCCTGCTGGGAAACAGAAACGTAAAAAACAACATCCAAGTGTAATATTTCTTGGGGAAACTAGCAGGATTACATATTCATGCATGGAATTTAGCACAAGTATAAATAAGCCTTTTGTAGTAATAATCATAATGTCTTAGTGGACACATTAAGCTCAATTCAACATTAAGAATTGAGCTTAATGTTTGCTCAATTCCTCAGCTGAGCCATAGCTTCCTCCGAGGACTCAAATATTTACTGACAACACTGAAAGAACGCCACACATTCCAACACGGTAAGCTCTTTCCGATCATTTGCTAGCCATTTGTGTCAACGGAAGACAAGGAGTCCTCAGTTCAAGCCAGTCAAGTTTAAAAACAAACAAAACAAAAAAAAAAAGAGAGAGAGACAGAGAGATCACCTGCTGTCCTTGGGATTGAAGTCTCTGGAGAACCTGTTTGAAGCCATTCAAGGTTGGCTGACCCATTCCATACAGCGGGTAGGTTCCCTTCACCTGGCGGAAGTTGGGGGCTCCATAGCTGCTTGTTGTGTTTAGCACATCTGCTTTGCTGTACACATCCTGCACCATGAAGTATTCACCCTGGAAACAACATTCATCTGAATCTGAAACTTTTAACCCTGATAAAAGTTTTCTTGTTTCCCCTCTTCTTAGTCATTTTACAAGTTCTTGACCTACACTGTTAGCAAAAAAACAACACAGCTGACACAGTCTGGCTAGTTTGTCTCAATAGTTTAAATCTCTGCTCTGCTTTTCACACTCTCCTGAACAAAGAATCACCTTAAACACCTCAGACACGTATATAAGTGGGTCGACATTTGAGATACTGCTACAACTAAGTCTTCTTGTTTAAAAAGGGTAATCAACAATCCAGACTAAACCAGGTATAATCAATACCAAAGACAATCAAAAATCTAAAAAAAAATTTTAAATTTAAAAGTTAAAGATGTGTATTCAGGAACAAATTAGATGCATTGGGAAATCCAGTTGATCAAAATCAAATTTTTTTTTCCCCAATCAGCTCAGTATCAGAGAAACATTTCAGAATCAGAAAAATTAGGTCAGAGAATCCACAGAGATGTGAGAAGCTTTTCAAAAGGACATTCTCAATGACATTCTTAGTTCTTCATGGGGATTCTACATAGAGGGGAAAAAAATTGGGAAACTCCGCTGAATATTTGATCTTCAAAACAAAAAGTAAAACATGCTTTTTATACTTTTTGAGGAAACATACCCTGGTTTTCTCCCACTTATGAACAGAAGTTTCGGGTTAAACCCCAACAAAAAAGTTAATGCAGGAGAGGTCACAGAGTACATCAAAGTCTTGTTATTCGGGTGCCAACAGTTCTGTTTCAATGACTGCCTCTGATCACAAAAAAACGAATAACAATGTTGCAACACAGCACTGCAATTTGGACATGAAGATGTGAAAACAGCAGACAAAGAAACAGGTGAGATTCCTCCACAGCTTTTAAAGATAAGGTGGCACCTTGTTGTGACTTAATCAAGCTTGAAGCTTGAGTAGCCCTTACCTTAACCAGGTAATGCTCAGGCAAGGAGTCCGATATCCGACCAACCTTGTAGTTGGCTTTTAGGATGTTGTCATGGATTTGAAACTCTTGTCTGCAGTTATAGCTGTGTAAAACACAAAAAAGGGGCATGTTTAATTATCAGCTACTATTTGCTCGGTCCAAGCAGACAAACGAGATGATAACAGGGGCAAACGTTTCGCCTGGATGTTGGAGATGGGTTGGATGTCACCACAGTGATCAAACAGGATTAACACCCAACTGTGAGAACGCAGGTCAGCAGGAGGGACTTACGTGATGACGACCGGGGCAACCTTGTTGGTGATAATGGACTTGGCTTTGCTGTTGTGGATGTTGACCATGTGGACTGGACTCATGCTGTTATGGGCCATCCCGTTGGCGTGGACGTTGTCAAGCGGCGGCGCTACATCAACAGGCTGTGGGGCAGCGCTGGCAGTTGTACCCATGCTCCACAAACTGCTGCGAATTATATCAATTTGAGACTCAGAGACAGGAAGAAAACACTCTTGAATGTATGCGAGGGTGACAGCAACAAGGCCTAATGTCACTTAAAAAGAGGTTTAAGTTGTGAAGAGAATGTCTCACACTTCAGCAAGATGTAGAAGACAGTGGTGGTAGTCTGTCAAATTAAATTGAAATTAACTAAACAAGAAAATGTGAATTTTACAGTTATTTGCAGAGCATTTTTCAAATAAAAAAAAAGGTTTTGTTGACAGTTGGTGAGTCCACCACATCTATGCATTTTATTGTTGTCGTTTAAACCAAAATATTATCTCCTACACAAATACAATACATTGGCTGTTGGCTAGCTCATATCAATAAACCTCTGCCTGTTTCAAAGAAAAAATCATCACTGAGACATTTATTTCACTAGTTTTTGCAATACCGCTGGATATTTTTAATTATCAGTTAGTAAATTCTATTGAATATTAAAAATTATATGCACAAAATTGACAGTTTTGTTTTTAACAATAGGCTACTATTAACTACTATTATTGTTAAAATTATACTAGATCATTTAACAATAATTATCTAATATGATCATTGTTTTACTAGATAGCAGGTATAATTATTTGTATATTTTATATTGTTAAAATAAAACAATTTTAACAATATAATTGCTAAAATTTATACTAGAATATGTTAATAATAATTAAAATGATTTTAATTATTTAATAATTAATGAGTTAGATGCCCATCAAAACATCTAACTGATCAGCTTGATGTATTGATGGTATAATTTTAAAGGGGCAGAGCACAAAAAGCCTGAGAATACATAGTATTTTCCACACTACTTTCTTTTTACACACTTATCAAAACCTGGACAATACTGAAATCAAAAATCCCAGCCTTTTCCCAAACATTCTTAATGGCAATTAAATTTCTAAAACAACCCTGGAAGACAGAAGAGTCCAAAACGAGCAATAATATTAATGCTTATTAGACCAGAATTATAAAACCGTGAAGCAAAGCAAAACAAAATTTTTGTAACTTCTTTAATAGATTCAGAAGAACTCATAAATCCGGAAGCCAGAGATGCTAATGAAAGGTAGAACATGAGGTGAACGTGAGAAGGTCAATCGTTAAGATTTACGTTCTCCACCACTGAAACTAATGTAAAGTTCCTCACATTAGAATCACAAGCCTGGATGTATTTTATTGACTTTTATATGCATAACTATTAAGTAGAAAACTGTGAACATAAAGTTTTAAATCAAGTTTTACACCAATCAGATTTAAAAAAAAAAAAAAAAAAAAACTGAGGTTCCTGGCAAAACTTGAAACTGCTGCTGCACAAGTTAGTCTACAGGTTGTTGCTAGGTAACCAAAGAATGAATGAGTGAGTTAGCTAGACCGTGAGACGTTGAGTAGCTAATGCCTTTTTATCTGCCTACATCCCCCAGAAAGCTGTGTGGTTCTGGATCGGTTTGGAGTTTAGTGAAACTATTAAACATTGAATCAAACGTATTACATATTTATAATGATCATGTGTCTATCGCAATACATCTTGTTATTGATTTAGTGGCTGAAATTAATTTTAAGACAACTTGCTTTCATTTGGATTTCAAACATAGGACATTAGAGAAAAGTATAAAAATGTTTCTATTGCACCCATGCAACTTAAAATAGAAGCTCACATGAGCCTGCCACGAGTTCCACACTTATCTCCTTCCGTTTGAATAAAACTGTTTTTTTTTCAGGACACTCTGCAGATAAACAAACCCTCAGAGTCAGGAGCAAAACATCAGCCCTAATTCAGGAAGCTACAAATAAAAAAGAACTAAATGCTGAGTGTAAACAATCCTCATCATAACCCAAACATGTTTCATTCAAAATGAAAACAAACTCGTTGCCACACAGTTCAGATGAATTCAGCCATTTAAGCTCAAAGCATCTCTGTGTGATCTCCAGCTTTGAATACAATTCGTCTCTGGCTGTGCAGAGAGAGATGCCGGATGAGTCACAGCCACTCTCCTCGTTGTTGCGTCTGGAGGTGAGTGGGTAGATCAACCTTGTAGTCAGAAAAGCTTTCAAGCCAATGAAAAGATTCACTTCTCTGAACCGCAAACTGTTAAAACAACAGGCTAATTTTTTTTTTTCTTTTCCTCTCCGGACATTTTAAAATCATTTTGCAGCTTTTAGGCAATATAAATAAAAAACAGAAAAGTAAACTCCTAACCCAGCTCCCACAAAAGCAAGCAATCTTTTTAAAAGAGCAGTTTGCTCCATCTGCCCACATCTATTTCAGTCTTTGCCACAGACCAAAAGCATCCTAGCTGCCAAAAATCTGCAGCCACTACTAGAAAAACAGATGAAATTTTTAATTTTTTTTAAAATAACAACCCTTTACAGCACGACGCTCCACTAAATCTGATATCTTACAAATGAGACGAGGAGCGATCTCCACATCCAGGACTTTTTCTCTGCTGCTTGTTTTCCGCCATGGTCCGAAAAGAGTGTGAGAACTTGGCATCCCATCTAAAGAAGAAATATATTCCTCTCTGGAATCCCGTCGCCCGCCCCCCTCAGACGGTGGGAAACACCCCTCACGGGAAATCAGAGTCCCTGACAGCTTGGCATTCAATGAAGAAAAAAGAAGAGAGGAAGAAAGAAAGAAAACTCAAAGTTTTCAGACAACGTCCTGCTCTGCTGCGTGCTATCTCCTGTCTGAAGTCGGGAAGTGGATTTAGGCAGGAGAATTGAGTCTCTACGGAGGGGAGTGGAGGAAGTTGTCGTACATCTGGTGGCCAGATGGCTCAAGTTTAGCTCTCTTCTCATAGGGGGCATGCAGAATAAAGACTTCTCGGAGAGAAAAACAATATTATAAGCTGTAATTATAAAAACATAACTTTTATACAACTATTTTGATTTGTTACGTCATTATTGATTAAACAAAGCTTAGAAAAGTTAGTATCAGTCAGTTGGAACCCGACAATGACTAGACAAAGAGTACATGCAAACAAATCTATTTCTGTAATTAAACCACTAAGATGTTACTATAGTTATTGTAAAAGGCATATTGCATCATACGTTGAAGGCAAAAAAAACAATAATTTCAAAAGTATCGAACACATCTGATCATAACTTGAAGTTTAACATTTTTCGAGCAATTAAAACCTATTTTTGTGAAACAAATGGTGCCTTATGAGTCATATCCTCGATAAGAGGAGTTCACTACCATATATGCACACCAGATGGAAATATGATCGGTTTTCATGGCAAGGAAAAAACAAATTTTTGTGGGTATATGTCCAGTTGCATGCTAACTGGAGACAAAGAAAAAAGACTACAAAGTTCATGAAAGAAAGGTCAAGTTTGAGGAACTAAGCTTCAGGTGGGTGAAGAGGTAAACTTGTTTAGCTTGAATTTAAGGGAAGCAAGAACCCAAAGCTGAGAGATAATCACGCAACGTAAGTAATGCCATAATTTAGCTATATATAGTCAACAGTGAGGTCACCATGGCAATCTGACATGGCAACTTGTTTATCAAGTAACTACTGTCTTGTCATAGCCTTATCAGCATCAGACTTTTCTCTGTGTCTGAGCCAAGTTAAAAAGAACATTTGTAGATATCGTCTTAGTATTTTAAATTGTAGGGCCTAAGTAGCATGTTTTTGTGGGTAAACTAATAGCATATAGAGTGTTAACGTGTGAATAGTATCACAGAGAGTGTCTTCAGAAATATGTTTTCACAGTTAACATTCCGGTGGTCCACATTGATGTGTTAAGCAAAAACTGATCACTGATAAAAAAAATAAATAAAAAACAAAAAAACTGCATGACTCGCTAGCGCAAAGTTTTCTATTGACAGTTACTTATAGAATTTGGTAAAGATGAAGAATTCTTATACCATCTGAATATGGACAGAATTTTAGCATTTTAAAGTCACATTTTTGTCGCAAGCAGTCATTCCCCACTACGGTAATTTTCAGGCAGACTCGTGCTTTTAAATGCCTGGGTAAAATGCCAGTCTCCAAGGTCTCCAAGCAACTGCGTAACATTTCTCCTCGTCATTGGAAAAAACACAACATAAATCTTCAACTCATGAACTTAAATTCAAGCAGAAGATTTTCCCACACCTACATTTGTCTTGAATCACCATTTTGTTTCATGTCATTGTTTAAGTTCTGTGTTCCAAATACAACACCATCTTTGTGCAACCTTTTGTTTGCATATTTTGTCATTTTGGACATGGAAAAGTTACTTTTGGCTACCAGCCTAAACCCAGGAGAAAAGATTGTAAAAATGATGATGAAGGGGTTTTCAACATCAAAGTACTAAAAAGCCCCCAAAATATCTTCAGTCACTTACTTTGCACCATTTAATTAGTAGGTATCCTTCAAACACTTAATGGCCTTCCAAAGCCTGTTCTTTGTAGTTTTGCCAAAAACAAGCTGCCTGATAACTTCACGATACTTTATTTTCAAAGGCCTGTTAAGGAAATGTCACATTACTGCTGCTGCAGAACAAGTTTCAGACTGAATTTGGTGCATCAGAAAGCCTCCTCCGCCTCACCTTACTCTCTGTCAGCTCTGCCACCGCAAGACTAAAGAGTTCACGTTTTTTCAGCACGGAAGTCCCTGATACACACAAGCGCAGCCAACTCCTAAGCAACTAGTGATTTCAGCAAAGGCAAACCCAGACTTCCAAAGCAGGCAGTCGGGCGGAGGCCTGAGTAGAAATAGCCCTCCGTCATAAACAGCCTCCTGAAGGGCCAATAATGCCAGCTCATCAGAGAAGCTGTTAATCCTTCATGTCGGCTACAGAAGTGCCACGCTTGCATCGTAAATATTTTCTTTACCAATGCAAACAGTTGTAATAATGATTTTTAAGTCCTAATTTAAAGTGCCTAGCAAAAATATTCATGTCTATTTAACTTTTCTATCTTTTGTTATTTATTATTTCCTGATTTATATTTTCTAAATTTATATTGTTACTTGGCTTGTATGGTGTTTTCTACATTGTACGGTTTCATTCTGTTTTTCTGTTTCTGTTACACTTATTTTTTACTGTGCACTTTCTGTCATGACAACTTACATTTCCTGACTAATAAAGAGTTATTTTAGCTCATGTTACAACCACAAACATCAATGTATTTTAATTAAATTGTAAGATGTATACTAACAAAAAGCACTGTCTAATTATCAAGTGGAATGTAAATTGTGTATTATTTTTACTGTTTGTACCACAAGAACATCAATAAATATCAGTAAATTTAAAACTAGAATTAAATGCAGTGATTGTGTGAGGTTTACTAATATAAATCACATTTCTTTATGGTGGCCTGAAGAGGCCTTTTTAAAATGGGAATGTTTTCAAGAACAGTATTTGTGAATGCTGTAGCATGAAGTCAAGCCATACAGTTAACTAAAAATAAAGTACCAGTAATAGTATTTTATTATATATATATTTTTTATCATTTTTATCATAAAATGTACACACACAAAAATCACAAAGATTTGTGGTTGTAATATCATAAAATATGAAAGTTCAAGAAGTATGAACATGTTTGCATGATTATCCATGTTTACTTTGAAACTGTCTACTGCAGGCGCTTAAATGTAGTGTAGTAAACCATGGAAAACAGAACCGCCTGCCAGCCAACTAGCATTGCTCCATTCAGGCCTGCTCCATTTAAATTCATTGGGTGTCCCAACTTCGCTGTAGCTGCATCTTAACACAAAAGGGTCCCCTTGCACACAGGAAGGAGCTTGCAGCTGCAGGATGCATCTGTTGTTGGCCTAGAGGAAGGATGCGGAGCACGCTTCATTCAGAAGACATACATTGGTTCAAGAAAGAGATACACTCCGTGACACATACAGAGGTCTTTCAACACCACATCCCATACCAAGGTTGAGCACAACGCCACAAGCGTGGTTGCACAACCCACAAAAGATGTCAAATTCAATTCACTTGTTGTGCAACATTGGTCATTACATTAAGGGACCCCGTTTGTCTCCATGGAGGCGACTTATTCAGTCTGCCAATGTTAAGGTTGAGAGACTGAACAAACAAGACCAAAAAAAAAACCCATATAATCAGATCACAACATGTATGATTCAATTCCGACATGAAACAAAATAAAAAACTCATAACAATCTCATTACTGTAAACAACAGGAACCGTAACTCAGTTGCATGGCAAAACGAGAGGGGAGGCTAGCTCATAGGAAACGCTCAGCAGTATTCTGTGAAGCTTCCACTCTACAGCTGTATGCATGTACACCCAATGAGGTTAAGGGTTAGGCACAAGCGTGGCTCTACAGGACACAGCAAGTTCCTGAGATGAAATATCAGAGATCTAACTGGAAATGAGCTCAGTGCTTCCTCTGCAAAAATATTTTTTTTCTTTCATTTTGTTTTTCCTTTAGCTAACTCAACTCATTGTGCATTCATGTCAACTTGCAGCAGCGATGTTTGTCTTTGTTTCTAAAAAGAAAACGAGAAAAAAAATAAACAGCTTGTAAAGAGGAAACCAAGCAGTGCTATTGTTCTGCTTGCAAATCTGATCAAAAGACGTGAAACTCATTTTTAACTGTAAGATGAAACCAATACAAAAACTAATGGGAAAGGTGCCTTTTAGTTTAGACATGTGTCATAAATCACATGAATAACTTGCATAATTCTGCATATCACTAAAAAGAAGAGGAAAGGAAAAGAAAAAAAGACCAAGTGATTCTATTTTTAAAATCCCAGCCTGTAATTGATTCTATGTCAGGCTGGCAATTTCAGCGTTCCTATTTCAAGGCTGCAGTAAAATATGGTTTTATTTTCTCCTTCAAACCGAAGTGTCCGACCGCAACGTTCTGTCAGCGTTTCCGTCTGTCGCCTAAAAAATCTGCCTTCTGCCTGCATCGGTGAGATTTTACTCAGATTTGTTTCCCTCACTTGCAGCTCAGACCTGTGCAACTGCAAAAACCCATTTTGTCCACAAGAAATTATCAATGCATCCAAGCTTGCAGTAGAGTACTATCAAACTAACAATCTGAAATTTCCCGTACAGCCAACAGAACTCTACAGTCCCAACTGTACCTGACATTCAGATCTTCGCTCCACCCTCTGAGAGGCTCACAAGTGGAAAACTCAGATTTGAGGTTGAAAACAAACTGACAGCTCTCCAGGCAGCGGACGACCGGTCTCAGTCACACGTCCTCTCTGGCATCTCTCTCTGAAGATCTGTGAGGCAATTCGTCTCTGCCTGCCGATCAAACTACAGCAGGTGGCAGTCTCTGCATTATTAGCGTGTCCTTACAAAGCGGGTCCTTCACTCGGGACAGATCCCAGCAGGAAGTGTTTAGAGGTGTAGGTGTGCAAAGGTATGCTCCGCTTGTTTGCTGTCTGTTACTTTTTTGAACGCATCCCATATGCACGGGGGGCAAAGCTGCTCGTGCATGACCGGGTTTATTTGTGTGTGTGTGTGTGTGTATATGTGTAAGGAGAGGATGTGGAGGCGGGTCCAGAGAGGCTTACTCATCATCCAGTTCACTGCCAGAGCCCCCGCCTGGCAGTGGTGCACCTTTCAAACACATGGCTGATCTTTTCATATAGGAATGAACCGTAACTGTTACAGTCGACCCTCACTGACCCAGCGTAGCATAAACTCTGACAATTACTAACAACTGCACACAGATGACATCACACAAGCCTGATTCACTACAAAGCTCTAATTACTCCATTCATTAGCAGTTAACACACGGCATGCTGAAGGCAAACAGGCTAACAGCTGGGCAAATACTTGGATTAAAGCCTGAGCTTCAGCTGCAAACGGCTGTCTGACGTACTGCCTGTAATTATAACCCTACCATCTCAAACCACTTCTTCATGGAAATACGCAGACGAAAACCACACACCGGACGAAATGCAGTGCCGTGCATAACTTTTCCACATTTTCCTAGATTATAACCACAAACAAAACTGGTTCTATTGGGACAAACCGACACACAGTGTTGCATAATTGCAAGGGGGGGGGGAAGATAAAAGATTTCAGTTTTGTTTACAAATAAAAATCTGTAAGATGTTGTTTGTAAAGCTTATGACTATAGCTCCCCCATGGCAATGAATTGTAGAATCTTCTTTAACTCTTTTGGTAAATGTATCTGTCATATTTGAACATCTCGAGACAAAACGTTTTGCCCGTTCAACAGGTTACTGGAGAGCCTGTAAGCTCAGTATTTTTTGTGTCTTGGCAACAATTTCCAGCAGCGTTTGGGTCTCGACTTCTGAACCATTATTGCCTTTGCATTTCTTATTTTTATCCTTCACCACAATGTCCCCACAACTTTCTCTCCCTTACTAAAATCCAGAAAAAGTATTTAGCTGGCCATATTATGGGCATGAAGTGCATGACTCCATTGCGCTCGAGTTATAAAAACCTACTAAAAAATTCCATCCAAGCATTAATATGCAACTGCAATAAGTATGAGGGATAAACACTGGATACAATTTGTAGTGCTATGGATTTCATTTTGGGGAATCAGATCAAAGGAGGGCTGCATTCAAATGCACACCAAACTTTTCAGATTTTTGTCAATTTGGACACTTTTGCAAGGTAACATCATATTTCTCTACTGACAGGCAGCCTGTCGGAATATATTCAAACAAACACAACCCACAATCTATCAAAAGATAGAGAGCAGGAGTAATTTTTGAGATATGGATGCAGAAATCTACTGCTGCCACACCTGTTCCTTCCTTCCTGCAAGAGCTGCAAGCCAAGACTCTGAAGTTCTTGCAACACCATTAAAAATGAAACCAGGCCCTCCCATTGCCTGAAAAAAACTTCACTACCAGAATGAATCTGTTGGAGGAAGGAGAATTGATAAGTAGTTTCATTCATGTGAAGGGTTATATAATAGCAAAACCGAAAAGCAAAGACATCGCAAAAATAACCTGAATGTAATGAAATATAGCTGCATGAAATGAGTGTCCTGACAGCTTCACTTCCTTCCTCACTAGAAAAAAAAGATGAAATAAAAGACGGATGTTCTTTGACAGATTAAGTAAAACATCCTCTCTGTTTAACGTCCCAAATGGAAAAACTGCAGAAGCCCTACATATCACCTGACATGAGCTAAATATCTCTCTGTCCTGGTCTGTGTCATACTCAAAAAAAAAAGTGTGTTTAGTAGGCCACAGTGTAACAGGAAAAGGAGGCAATAACACAGGAAAGTGTTTTCACCTGTTACAAAAGTTCAGCTTTCAGCTGCCAAACAAAATATTACACCACTGATGGTTTCACGGTTGCATCATTATTCTTCAAGGACAGAGGAGTTAAAGTCAAAACGCAAAATCACTCCGCAGCTCCAGAGATGAGCAAATGAGAATCACAGAGATGCAAAAGGACATGTTGATGGGAAATAAACTGTTCTCCGAAGTGCTTTTATGAAATGTGACACCTTGTGGTGGAAACAACCCACTGCATTGCACAATCCCTGCTTCTTGGATATTTGTTCTGACAAATTTTGTTTTGTCCATTTAAGGACTTTTAAATTCAATTTGGTATTGCTTAGCATACAGAAAAGAAAATGGATCAGTTCAAGCAAACATTTCTGGGACATAACCCAGTACATCCAACCCAGCCTCCAGTCGGTTACAGCTGTGTTTTAGCTTCTTTTTTTCCTCCATTTTCATGTGCTCCCAGAGATCATCCCAAACTTTGATTTAAACTTCTCCCCGCTTTAATGTTGACCTGTCTGGTGTGTTTCTTGATTTTCTTGATGCTGTTTGTTCTCTAACAAACTTCCAAGGCCTTTGCAGCACAGCTTTATTTGTACTGAGATTAAATTACACCTGGTGGACTCTATTTCATTCTGAAATCAATAAATTACACTGGATTCCACTGTCAGGGTAAAGAGATCTGAATGCGAGCAACACTATTTGGAAGAAAATGTTGAAAAGCATGTTGAAGGGGTATAAATGCTTTTCAAAGCCACTATGGCAGCATTTTCCAAATGAAAAATATTCCACTTTTTTGTTCTCCATCTGTGAGAACTACATTTCCTCTTGTAGGCCTTTTATCAAGATAAATGAAATGTTTTTGAGTCCAATCATTTATTCCCCAGCTGTTCACTCTCAGGGGAGTTTCATGCATTCAATTTTGATTAATGACGATGTTCACGGTTTGATCTGGGCTCACACGCTGAGAAGCGCCAGTTTGTGTCTTCTGCCCCCGGGGACAGAGGGTAAAGTGATATGCCCAGATCTCAGAGACAGAGAATGGCCCCAGCCAAATGGGGCCCCCAGTACAATGCATCAAAGAGCATCATGTGCTTTGTCTTACTTTAACTGGGGTCTTTCTCGTACCTACAGTGTCATATTTGATGATAAATATCTTTCCAATCTTTAAGCTAATAAAGACACTGTGGTACAGTTATATTGAAAAATTATTTTGTATGCTCTGAAACCAAAAATTTATTTTGAAGGTTCTAGTAACTTTGAGGTAATTAATTTACTGCAATCATTCATTGCACCAAATTAAGAATGAAGATTTTACCACTTTCATGTAATTCACTGGTCTACATGGTTATGAAAATCATCGCAAGCTGTCTCTCTGTTTTGATGAAAATAGCAGCTCCTAATTACCTCTAAACCATTTGCACATGGATGAGCTCAGACAAAATGTCCAAGCATTTCCAACTCAAACTTTCATCATGGCTCTAGCATGCTCAGATGCACAGATGCAATGCACAACACAGTTAAAGCATTGAGTGCGGAGTGGGGGATGCCAAGCACATGCTTCCATCAGCCTGAAAAGAAATGCTTTGCAGAATGAAAAACACGCTGAACAACTGTAGTATCCAAGAAACACAAGCAACGCGTGTCAGCGTAGAAGTTACGGTGATGTTGTTTGAGTCCAAACGTCAAAAAAGAGGGGGAAAAAAACTCAACTTCTAAGGCTGCCATTGCAACAAGAGCACGGGAAAATTTAAAGCGACTCACCATTTCAGCAGCTCTCAGTCGGTGGAAAAGCGTCCAGACGAGCCATAGTTTCTTCCGAAGCTTATAAAAAAAATATACAGCTTTTGCTCTCTTTTTACCAGCAAAAGTCAAACGAACAACGGCTTGTGGAGTTTTTTGCTGTCCTAACTTGAGAATTTCACGGAAAAGATTTTGCTTGCGAACTCTGACACACAGCGCATGCGCGGGTCGTGGTTCTCCACAGATGCTCCATCAGAAACCTTGCATAGGGAGGCACAGAAATATGAGAAACGTGGAGTCAGATGTTGAAATCAGATTGCATTAGTTGTTTCCTGTTTGATTACACTCCCACTGTAGTGATTGAGGACGACATAGTGTCCCACTTATTTTAAATCTCCAATCTCTTGTTTTCATCTCCTTATCTTAATATCGACACTTGTCTTTCAGGCTAACATATGGCGTTCACATGATCTAAATTTATATATTAATACCAGGCTGGTGATGTTTGCACTCCCACACGAAGACAAATTTTGCAGGTACTCTCACTGGCCACTTTATTAGGTACATCTTCCAGAATCCCCTTTATCTTCACAGATGGGTTAATTAAATTCAAAAGGATTTTATTTACACCAAAGGGAAAATAAATGTGGTCATAACTCATATCATGCATGTATTTTCAAAGAGTCATTGCTAAGCGGATCAAAAGCAGCAGAATTAGCTTCTGACTGAAAATTATTGCCGTTTGTTTCATGATTATGCTAACAGCTCAATTTCCAGGTGGCAGAAACAGGATTCCACGGTAATATGTCCTGGATGACATGATCAGTTCAGTTGTTGGTAAGCACTGCTAAACCACCTCATTTGTCTTTGCTGCGCTGCTGTCTGGCCTATAGCTACAAAGCTGGGGAGGATACGATCCTTCAATGTCTCTGGGGTTGGGTGTCATAGATTACTTATTTTTTTAGCTTTTCAAATGCTAACTGGCTGCTCCCTGTTGTAAAAATATCAATTAATTCCTCAGAGCACATATTCAGCAAGGAGTTGGAAATATCAGAGACAGATTTTGATCCAAATTGACACAGTAGCATCTCACAGTCAGTATAGATTTCTAGGCTGTACATCCATGATGCAAATCTACAATTTCACCACATCCCAAGACACGTCAGTCAACTCATTGTCATGTTCATTTTGAAATGTTTTGAGCTCTGTGTCAACATTCATTATCCTCCTTGAAGTAGTAACGAGAACACTGTGTTTGTTAAAGGATGGGTATGGTCACCAACAATACGCAGGCAGCCTGTGGTGTTTAAACAAACTCAGCTGGCACTAAGAGGAGCCTTTACAGTAACTCCCCAATATAAACACCTGGACACGACTCCCATATTTTTAGGGAACCTTAAAACATCTGTTACTTTAAGATTCCTAACTTGAAAGATAATGTATTACTTTCTGCTGCTGCTTTTGCAGC